TTGAAGTATTAAACGAGTATTAATATGAATTCGAGTTTATTCGTTTGAACACTATTGGAAGTATAGATTTTTATTGTTAAATCACTGAAAATTACGGTTTATTATTACTTTATTTGAAAAATTAACCTATAGCATCCCCTAGCTCCCACCCAAACCTTAGAAGATGAGCAACATCAATTCATTTTTTAGATGGCTAAGAAGACGGCGAGGGGTAACTAAACTTGAAAATGACATGCCAAGGGTTTTTTTTTTTGGATGGGACATGCCAAGGGTTTAGATAACAAGGGATGATTGTGACATTCCTCCCCACTGGGGGTGGGCATGGGTCGGGACGGTTCGGGATTAGGGTTATCCCGGTCCCGTCCCAATTAATAATAACGGGACGGGACGGTACGGGACAAGCCTTTGTCCTAGTCTTGTCCCATTTAAATCGGGACCGGGATGGTTCGGAATGGTTCGGGACGGTTCGAGACGTCCCAAACTAACAAAAAATAATCATTTGTAATTAATATATATTAGCATTTCTAAAGTATCATGCACCAAAATATTAACATTTTAAAAGTTAATTGATGTTCATCACAAGCTAAAAGCTACCACGTATTAGATTTTAGTTAGGTTTAGCAAATTTTGAAATTTAAATTTAAAACAAAGCAAAAATGAACTAGTTTATTCAAAATCATGTGTTCTAGCTGTGAGATACTCATATGTAGATATATAAAGTGAGATAAAAATCTATGTTAGTAAATATTCATGTTAGGTATTATTTTTAATTTAAAAATTGGGCTTAAAGAACTAAAAACATGTTACCATTTATTTTTTGAGTTGACATTACACACTAGTCACATGCTACAAAATCTATATAGTTATTACAAACGGGACAACAGGACGGTTCGGGATAACCTTCCAATGTCCCGGTCCCGTCCCGTTTTAAACTGGTACGGGACCGGTGCGGAACAAAATCAATGAGACCCAAACGGAACGGGACAACACCGGTACGGTTTCGGGATATACCGGAATGGGACAACGGGACCGGGATTCTTGTCCACCCCTACTCCCCACACAGCTAGCCCATCTTGTCTCCCCTTTCTATTTTTTCATCAAACGTATGATCTATCAAACACAAATATGGTATGCTAATTATTACTTTACAAGTGTTCATCCGTTTTGCCGGCTTCTTGTTCTAGATAAATATTCCATCCGCTCCTTTAATTTTTCTTTTCATTTTCTTTTTAATCCATCTCAAAATCATGGAGGTTTATTTCTTTTAATATCGGTTGTGTATGAAAATGTATTTTTTCATGCATTGCCTACATTTTTCGGGGGTTAACGTAACGTAGACATACTCAAGAAATGTCTTATCTACTCTTAAATTTTATGCTTAGCTAAATAAATAAATACAATAGAGCAAATTAAAGAGATTATAAATATTTGTTTAATACTAATTATATAAATGTAGTAGGACAGTACTCATGTTCCATTGCACTTGAAGCTGTATGTGATAGATTTTGGGACCATGTTAAAGTCTCGTGCCGAAAATAAAAGTACTCATTTATTCATTTGTTATCCTCTATTTTTTTTTGCGCTTTTTTCATCAGTTGCTTGTTTTCACCTTTCAAAGACCAACCACATGATTTTTTAAAAATACTTGTGCTATTGGGTGTTGCTTGCAATGGAAGTCGGAGGAGGTAGGCATGATCATATGAGCCGCAAAGATTCTCTTCTTCATCATTGTTCTCATTCAATTTCATATTAGGTCCATCATTTTTTATTAGAGAAGTTGTGTACTTTCAATAGAAACTAAACAAATCCTATTGTGAGAATAAAAGAGTATAAAACACAATTACTTATACTTTTAATAGACTATTTGAGGAATGAGACAATCATAATCAGATAAAAGTGAGAGTAACATCTATAGAAAATAAGATGCAAGAGTCTCAAACTTTCAATTGTGGTGATTTAGTCAAGTGCGTGGAAGACTGGGTGTTACAAAAGTAGAGATCAGAGGTGGGGAGAAGAAGCGGGAAAGGGGGGGGGCAACGGATGTGGACTCGAAAAACCAAAATTGATATGCATTTTTGGATTTTATGTGAGTACATATACTTCGTTTGTGTGTGTACTTCGTATATATGGTTTTACTCTCTGATCTCTTTTTATCTTTTTTATTTTTCTTATGTTCTTATTTTATTTTTACTATTTATGTCCTTTTATCTTATATTCATCTTATCTTATCATTTTATCTCACTCTCTCCTTTTATTTTCCTTATCTTTATTTTAGTTACATCTCCAATATCATAGATCGATTCATGTTAGCTGATCTCAAGATCTTTTGAAAATAACACTTGGATGTTGTTGTTGTGTTATCTATACTTTACTTCCCTTTAGAGCAATTCTTTATTTTTATTCTTTTTTAATTTAATTAAAGCAATTGAACTATTGTTTAAATTTATTTATTTTTAAAGGAGAGAAAAATCATACCAGTATCCATCACAGAATAATTTCATTAAGGAATTTAAATGAGGATTACTTAATTATATTCATGGAAGTGTATATCGTTCAATCGGTTGTCCAGCTGGCACCATACGACCGGTGGGAATTTCAAAATTTTGTTGAAAATTGTGACTTCTCTTAAATGAGCATTAATGCAATTTTAACGAGCATCAAGTTTGTTGTTTTGAGTGTTAGGAGCCGAACAATGAGAACCGTGATCTCAACTTCATATCTTCTATATTGATACGCATTTCTAATGTGCTCACTATTATATTTTATTATAAAAAAACTTAAATTATATCTATAATCAATTCCAATTAATTTCAATATGTGAATCTAATGTAGTATGATACGTTTGAAATATGCAACATTTTAAAATGAACATGAAGTGATACTATACGAAATGAGCATACATAACTTACAAAATGAGCATCAAAAAATTCAAAAATTCATTTGTGTATGCTCACTCATTTTGGTCGTTATATTCTTTTAGGTTTAACATAAAGCTCATTTCTAATGTGCTCAATATTCATTTGTGTATGTTCATTCTTTTTAGGCATATACTCATTTGAGTTTAATATAAAACTCATTTGAGATCAATAGCAACAATATAATCATTCCTCAGCAACGAAGTACACTCCCCTTGTCTCCAAAAAAACACGAGCTCAAAATAGCAAAATTGCGTAAGATAAAGAGGAGAAAGAAAAGAGTGGAAAGAAAGAGAGAGGGAGGATAGGTAACTAGCCGTTGCATTCAGGCAAGAGGAGAAGGGGGTGAGAAATGAGCGGTGGTGACGAGCAATGAGCTAGAGCAGAAGGGGGCAAGTGGGGAGATGTGGTGACGAGCAACGAGCTGGAGGAGAAGGGGTTGAGTGATGAGTGGCGACAACGAGCATTGAGCTTGGTGCGAAGCTAGATCGAAAAAGCAAAGCAAGATCGAAGCCCAAAGCCAGGCGGAAATGAAAAGTCTGATGTAACGTGTGCATGATACAATTGGTTGTACTATACATTTTGCGTATATTCACGCAAAATGAAAAAATAGAGATAAAGAGTGATGGTCCCTGATAGAGGTAAAAGTCTAGAGGATGAGGTGAATAGACTTTCAAGGCTTTTTCAACTTTAAAAACTTTCCCAACTAGATATGATGATCTATAACCTTATGAAAGATTAAAGATGTGCACAGCGGAAGTCTTGACCTCTATGTAAACAGTGTATGACGACTTTCTATTTATAGTAAGTGGATAAAGGAGAAGTTTGGAGGACAGTCAGATAAGTTTCATGATATCTAAGAAACTCAAATAGAGTATTTGAGTGAGATTTAAACCCATCTATAAGGACAGTTGTCTGGGCAGTTTGGTAAGCAGTGGAGTAATCACAGAGGACTGCTGAGACTACTGCTGAGGAAGGATATGATTTTGAGACTTCTAATTGGACTGGTGTATTTCTGAGGCGTATAGAAGGCTTTTGTGATATTGAGATGTTTTAAAGAAAGAGTATAAATGGGCAGTAAGCTGAGCAGTGGAGTGAGCAGTAAGGTGAGCAGTAGACTGCTGCTGAGGTAACTGCTAAAGCCGCGGCTTAACTTAAGAAGTGTTTGGTGTGTGCTTTGTTGACTGAAAGTAAATCAACACACAATATATCCTGGTTCAGAGATGGTGTAATCCTCCTACGTCCAGTCTCACCCTCTTTCAGATGGATTTTCACTAAAGTATTAAACCCAGTACACTTAATGTCAATCTGGCCTTAACCACACAACTAGCCTAGATTGAAGGTATTTCACAAGGAGTACACACTACTCCAAGCTACTCAAACCTTTAGATTTTCTCAATTGATCCAGTGGGGATCAAAATGTACTCTATTCTATTCATCCACACTTAGGACTAGATAACACTATCCTTCTAAGTGTTTACAACAAATTATAACAAAAATTCTAGCCTCCAACTAAGAACTAAACTTCCAGAATATAGCAATAAGAGTTCTAGCTTGGAAGTTTAGTGAAGCATGAGTCTAAGAAGAGAGTTAAGTTGAACGCGCACTTTCTCTTTTACTAGATATCTCTTAAACACTAAATGTACACTGTTTTACTATTATTTCCAATATAAAAAAATGAGAAATTACCCTAAATAGGAGTAAATGAAGTTTAAAATTCCAAAATAGGACTACTATGTTTTTCTTCCCGAAATAAGAGTTATTACCATCATGTATAAAAAATACTATTGAAAAATACTGTCATTAATTATAATAAATATTGTCACATAAAATGCATTGTACTACAACTATTTGACAGTTACGTTTACAAGATGACAATAAAATGCTCGGTCCTATTTTGGGAAATCTCCCGGATAAAAATGCATATCAGCACATGCATGAGTGATTTTCTATACGGAGTATATGTTTTTAATGTTCACATGTTTTCCCTACGTTTCATATCATATTTTCTTGTGTAACACCCTCCCCCTCATCTTTGAAATATAAGAAAATTAGATCAGATCATTTATGAAACTAAAACTCGTCTTCAAAGAAAGAAAAGCACTAGGAGAGCAATCAACAGATCAACTCGAATGTACAATTTATGCTATCTAGGAGAGCACTAGAAAAACACTAGGAGATCAATTATGAAACTAAAACTCATCTTGAATATACAATAAAGCAAACAGGCAAAGAATAAGACACCATAACGAGCAGGACAGATTAATAACCTATCTGCAATTTGTATGGCTTGGAAGAGTATTTAGTTTAAAACTAATTAATAAAACAGTCTGAAACTAAAGCTTCACTACTCGAGACACTTAAGATGTCACCTAAAATCACCACTAATGCCTCTGATGCTGCTTCTGCTTGATTCCCAGTTCCTATTAACGAGTGCGTATGATACGCAAGTTGAGTAGAGACTTCACAACTTGCTTCATTGAAGGACGTTTAAACCCCTTTGACTTCTATACACTCCAACCCCAACTTTGTAGTTGAACTCCATCATGCGTCTTCAGGCTGACATCCACAAGTGATCGAGCAACTGCCTTCCTTGCATATTTGTTTCTCACAATCTTCAAATGCCCATTCAGACCCATGGGGCTCCTCATTCGTAAGGCCCTCTATTGTAGTGAGTCTCTTGGATATCAAGCTCAGCATTATATAACCATAAGCATGCACATCAAACACTGAACCATACACCTGCACTTGTTAATAACTTAGTACGGGAGGGTTCTCAGCCTCTTAACTGATTAATACTCCCTCCGGTTCTAAATAAACTTCACACTTTCCTTTTTGGGACGGTCCAAAATAAACTTCACACTTCCTTATTTCCTTAAATGGCAAAGAAATCTACATCAAAACAGTGTTAAACAGTGTTAAACAGTGCCAAACAGTGTCTCAACAGTGCAAAACAGTGTCTCAACAGTGCCAAACAGTGTCTCAACAGGGTACTCTACAGTAAAGTCAACTTTATTTCCTTAATAACTGTGAAGTCAAACACTGAAGTTTAAAAAGTACCAGAGGGAGTAATTGTTTACTCTTACATTGCTTAAGACTTGGAAGGTCCTTCATCTAGGGAAATCCTGATCCAGTTATGTACCAAATGGTGGTCAAGAGACCGATACCCGGAATTCCTTTTAAAGATATATAGTGTTTATGCTTTCATCGAAACCCTGGCCAATAAACCGTGTTCTGTTAAAGGTTCCAATTCATCCGGAAGTGAATGCGAGCAAGGGCCGTGTCAATTGGGACAATATGGTGAAGTTCTAAGTTCTAACTTAGACCCCTCTACCACTACTCATCTACTAAGATTAATTTGGTCCATATATTGATGTCTTTCTATATGGATGTTGTGGTAGACTCCCTCAAAGTTCTCATTTATGTTTGCAGTTAACTGATACAATCTAGAGGTTTATTTCCCCGGCTTTCTTTCAAAAAGATAATGATGAAGCCATATAACTTTCAAATGGTGGATATGATGGGGTGGAAAATATAGTACGGGGCTTATTTGATAGTTTTCCCTTCTCAAGAAATATGATAGGAAAGAAGATGTGCAGTGGTTTAAACTAATAAATTTATTTTTCAAATTTTTTCCAAACTAATGCATTGCTTTCTCTTTCTTGTAATACGAAAACATTGATCAAATTTCATTAGCATTTGACAAAGAAAATCAAAACACCAAAAAGTAAACGTAATTGTGCCACTATTTCTTTATAAAAATAATCAATGGTAGATAAGATTTAAATAAAAGAAGATGGAGATTGAGAAGAATTGAATTTAAACCCTCTGCTCAGCCTTATCGATTATGTAAGGGAACGGCGGTCCAGACGAAAATGACTTCCATATCATTTAGGGGGTGTTTGGAACTGATTCTGCTTCTGCTTCTTTTTTAAAAGCAGAAGCAGAATCAGAATCAGTTTTCAGAAGATGGTACCTCCCAGCTTCTAAAAAAACTGATTCTGAGTAAATTAGAGCTTCAGAAGTGCTTCTGTAATTTCACCCAAACACTTCAGCTTCTGCTTCTGCTTCCTGAAGGAGCAGAATCAGTTTTGAGAATCAGATCCAAACACCCCCTTAGTCTGTTTCTAACACTTGAAATCGAGATTTGGATTAATTGTATAAATATTTGAAGTAGGGATTATTTTTGTTTGATTGGTAAAAGTAGGGATTATTTGTATCTATTTCGCCTTTAAATATATTGGCCTAATGGATAGAAACACTACTATTTAGGGAATAAGGGTGTTTTTAAATGAACTAATTTTTTTTGGGTCTATTCAAGTCTAATCTGGTCTAAATTGGTTAGGTTAATCCTTGGTCGCTGTTTATTTTACAATCCCAAAAGTCAAATCTGATCCTTTAAAGTATGGTCTGATCTGTTAAAGTTTGGTATGGTCTGATTTGGTCTAGTCTAGGATAGAAATATGTCCAATTATAAACAATTTTAAATTTTTGTACTCCTACTTTGTAATTCCAAGATATTTTTACAATCCCTAAAGTCAGATTTGATCCTTTAAAGTATGATTTGATCTGTTACAGTCTGGTATGATCTGATTTGATCTACTCTAAGATAGAAATAAGTTCAATCAAAAACATCTTTAAAATGTTGTACTCCTATTTTCTAATTCCAAAATATTTTTACCCCTACTTAGGGCAATTTCTTAAAAATTAATTATACCAAATTCGGAAAACAAGTAGCATGTGAGAAAATATAGCACAACAAATAAAAAGAACGGAAGGAGCTTTAAATATTTACACAGTAAAACTATCAATTCAAGCATTGCTCTCAGCTTTCAAGTCACACAGAGCCACACCTGAACAAAAATTTAAAGGTAAGCGCTTGAAAAAAAATGTTCTAATTGTAAATCATTCGGAAATGTCAAGGGTTAAAATTCAACTTAGAATGTTTCTGGGTCGATTGTTGGAAGTCCAGATCTACTTTTTTGCCAAGCATATTCAGTACACCTATAATCTTTCCTCATTTTATAAGGGATATCGAGGGTTACTTTGAAGGGGATAAAACTAAGCACAAAATAAGAGACACAAGAGCAGATAGAAGAATTCGTTGCTCACAATGAATCATCAGGTTTACGTCATTATTAATAGGAATAAAATAACAAACTACAAACTGAAAAATAGGATCATGGATCTAAAATAAAGGATACAAAAAAGGTTTAGTCGTGATGTAACCTTTGCTGAAGATGAGGCATGGAATTGGAGTGTGAATGAACGTCCAGAACCACAAAGGCGTGAAGTTCACATTCTAGATGAACTTGATACTGAAGCTACTACTAATATACAGCCTGTAAGTCAAGTCAGAAACAGTGCTCAGGAACCTGAAACATCAAGACCAAGACGGCTAAGGCAAACACCAGCACATTTGCAAGATTACGAGGTAAATCTTGATAATGAAATTAATGATGATGGTGAGCTGGTACATTTAGCTTTTTTAGCAGATACCGAAGCAGTCATGTTTGATGATGCCATTCATGATCCAAATTGGATCAATGCCATGAAGGAGGAGATGAAAGCAATTGAGAAAAACAAGACATGGCAGCTTACAAACCTCCCACGAGGCCACAAAGCTATAAATGTCAAATGGGTTTACAAGGTCAAGGTGAAGCCTAATGGCGAAGTTGAAAGATACAAAGCCAGATTGGTGGCAAAGGGTTTTGAGCAAAGACAAGGTTATGATTATGAAGAGATTTTTTCCCCTGTAGCAAGAATGGAAACAGTGAGATTGCTGATTGCTCTAGCTGCTCAAAATCAATGGAGGATACACCAGATGGACGTCAAGTCCGCTTTCCTCAATGGTCCACTTGATGAGGAGGTTTATGTCAAACAACCACCTGGCTTCGTAATTCATGGAATGGAAGAGAAAGTATATCAACAGATCAACTTAAGAAGGCCTTGTACGGTCTCAAACAAGCACCACGAGCATGGAACACACAGATTGACTCGTTTCTTCAAAAAACTGGCTTTGAGAAGTGTCCTTCTGATTATGGCTTATATGTGAAGGCTAACAAATCTGGTGACTTACTCATATTATGCCTTTACGTTGATGATATTATCTTTTCAGGAAATAATGTCCAGATGATTGAACATTTCAAGAGTTGTATGACAAGGGAGTTTGACATGTCTGATCTTGGGCTTATGTCTTATTTTTTGGGCATTGAGGTGGTTCAAAAGGATGATGGAATTTTTATCAATCAGAAGAGATATGCTTCTGAGTTGTTAAAGAAGTTTGGCATGCAAGACTCAAACCCAGTTAGAACACCTGTTGAAACTGGTTTGAAACTAACCAAGGAAGGAGATAACCGGATAGTTGATCCAACGTATTTCAAGCAAATTGTTGGAAGCTTGCGATATCTCACTTGTACAAGGCCTGACATTTGCTATGCAGTAGGATTGGTCAGTCGCTACATGGAGTCTCCGAGAGAGTCACATTTACAAGTTGTGAAAAGAATCTTACGCTACATTAAAGGTACTTGTGACTATGGCTTATTCTACTCATCATCCAAGGAAAATGCTCTTGTTGGTTTCTCTGATAGTGATTGGGGAGGAGACCTGGATGAAAGGAAGAGTACCAGTGGTTCCTGTTTCATGCTTGGAAACACAGTTTGTTCGTGGTCCTCCAAGAAGCAATCTGTTGTGGCCTTATCTACGTGTGAAGCAGAATATATTGCTGCAGCATCAAGTGCATGTCAAGCAATTTGGCTTAGCAACATACTGTGCCAACTGAATTTCCAGCAGCAAGGTCCAATTACAATATATATTGACAACATCTCTGCTATCAACTTGGCCAAAAATCCAATTTTTCACGGAAGAAGCAAACATATTGACATACGCTATCATTTCTTGAGGGATCAAGTTGCTAAAAATACGATTAGACTGGAATATTGCAGAAGTGAAGATCAAATTGCAGATTTATTCACCAAACCATTGAAGATTGATGCATTTGTCAAGTTGAGAAAGTTACTTGGAATGAAGTCTCTACAGAATCAGAATTAAGGGGGGATGTTCACTTAATAAAATGTCTGAGTTTAATTCTGATTCCCGTAAGCTAATAAATAGGGATTGAACTAGATTGATCCTATTTTTCAGTTTGTAGTTTGTTATTTTATTCCTATTAATAATGATGTAAACCTGATGATTCATTGTGAGCAACGAATTCTTCTATTTGCTCTTGTGTCTCTTATTTTGTGCTTAGTTTTATCCCCTTCATACTTTAGTTCTATTTCCGCCCAACCTACTAATCCCCTCTGCAGGACATTTATATTGATAAAGCAGTTAGGCAACCTCCGACTTACCTCTTACAGAGGAGTTTGTAGTTTGTACATCTTCAGAGTGAAGTAAGGGTATTCCAGTTTCCTTTGTACTTTCTTTTATTCTGGGCCCTTTGTATTATAATTCCTAATTCTTCTTCTATTTTTTCTAGTGCACTACTACATATATACAAAGGTCACAATATGATTGTTAGTGATAGATGTGTAGAACACTTGGCTGGTTTTGGGTAACATAACATTAATCTTAAGTGGTTTTATTTATGCACGTTGAGTGTTTGAAAAAACGCCTGGCTCAATACCCGGATAAAAATTAGAAAAGTTTGAAAGTTTTGCAAATTGTTTATAACTCGAAGTAACACAACCACAGTCCCTCGCATTGTTTGCAAACTGATTTTAATAATATAGAATAAACTGCAAATTATTTACACTAAAAATAATAGCGTAAAATACTTTTAACTATATGAAACAAATGGCTAAGCCTTAGAAATAACTGAAAGTTGTATAAAGTAAACAAAAAGAACACAAAAAGAAGAAACGTGCAATTGTATTCCGAAGTCCGAACTTGTGAAAATAGTAAAAGTTTATTTCCAATACGAACTGCTTTTTTACAATGACACCGGTAAAACTAAACACTATATTAGCCATTTGTTTGAAATATCTACCCAATCTAATACGAAGCATAATTTATTGAATAATGATAATGATAATGAAAGCACAATTTATAATAGAACTACGAAATAAATCAAATAATAGAAGCTTTCTCGTAAATAATAAAAACAAAAAACAAAACAAATTGCAGATGCTTGTATACTTGTACTCTGATATGAATCAAAGCTTCACCTCCTAACTTTAGGTTCCAGACCAATACCTTAGTCGGTAATATATTCTACATGATATCACACCAAGGTCCAATATATATAATTAAGCAAAACCTGTAACTAGTATTTTCTATAGCGATTTATATACAGAATATTGTTATGAACTTAAAGTGACACCAAATCCAAAACACAATTAATAAACAACCTATAGAAAATAGTTTTATATACACATATTTCTTGATAACAAATGTATGAACGGTTCAAGTACGCTACACATTGCACTCTTTATTCCCTATTGGAAATAGTGCAACTGCTGTCTCAAGGACATATAACATGCACTCAAAAATACCTCATTCAAGCAAATAGATATTGTTTTCAGTTAAATTATTAAAAGGAAAAATTGAAAATAATAATCCCAACTATTGCTGGTCCGCTGAAAATAATCCCAACTATTGATTATTTTTGTATAATCCCAACTATATAGACTATCCGCCAATAATGGTCCATGACCATATATTACCTCTATAAAAAGTGAATTTTAAATAGAAATTAAGCGTAGAAATTAAAAGTTGAGATAATTTATAGGGATTACTTATTATATCTTATCTCATCCACTTTAGAAACTACAAGAATTTATTCATAGGGACCATTATTGGCGGAAGGTCCCTAAAGTTGGGATTATTCTGTAATAATTAATAGTTGGGATTATTATGAGCGGACCACCAATAGTTGGGATTATTACTATCAATTTTTCCTTATTAAAAAATAGCAGATATCTATTAATTCATGCTCACATAGTTCAAATCAAATGAATATTTTGTCTATTAGAATTAGAGACAAACCAAAAGCATGTATACTCGAATTAATATAAAAGAGTTTATAAGTGCTGAAAGTATATAATGGCATAGACAGACCTTTTAGCCTAGGTATTAATATGTTCATCAAATTAGTTTAGGGTAAATGCAGGGAACACATTACAAAAGCAGCAAGCATAAACAAAATGCAGGCTTGGCTTGTTAAGTGCACTCTGTATTTGTTCTCTACATTTCCTTATAAATGGTGTTAATTAAATAGACACAGATAGTGAAACATTTTCAAATCTTATAGAAAACAATTTAACTATTTACTGAAACACATGTGAAGCTTCATATATTCCTTATTGGAAAATTTTATATCCTAACATTCACAAAACTATGGACATACTAGCTTTATTTCTATCGACTACAAATCATTCATCACTTATTTTGCTTCAGCCCAGAAGAAAGAAGAGAGTAGGGTTCACTGAAGATGAAGGGAAAAGGAAAAGGGAAAATGGTGCACGAAGAAATTGGGGGGAAAAGCTGCTACAAGGTAAGTATATGGAGAAATTCTTGATATTTTAAACTTAATATGATCACATTGATATTTTAAGATATAACTAGTTATAAGTATTATTATTAGTTATAATAGTGATACTTATATATAAGTTATCTTTATTACTATTTGTATCGAATGGTTATATTGCTACATAAGTATTTAGCTATATTAATTTATAGAGGAATGATCTACTCAGGCGATCTGCATGGGAACCGCCCTCAGGCAGTCCGCACCAGATCCGTACTCTTAGTTTATACAAAGTAATACAGTAGTTATCACTATTATGTATGTGTTACTGTTTTTTTATTACTACAGTATACTACTGTTATATTACTATACTATATTAATAAAGTAAAACATGAGGGAGTAATAAAAAACTTCAATGATGGAACCCGGTACTACCCATACTAAATAGCTGCTGTCGCCCAGATTCCATTTTCAGAAGCGAAATCCAGATACAAATGTGACATATTAGCTTATGTACACATACACAACACACACACAACATTACCCCAGTGCCGCAACTGTTCCCACCGACGGTGGGGTAAGGGGGTCGAATGTATTAGCTTATGTACATCCAAACAAAATATTTGACTACGTTTATGACAAGAGATGACCTCCCAAACCAACCTTTACCAAAAGACTATTGTTGTTGATGTCTTTTGACTAATATAGTGTGTTCATTAAATCTGTCAGCACAATATCTGCTCCAGCCTCAGTTCAGAGCCAATCTGTTTCACAGAAAACGAAATTCAAAGATTTACAAATGGTTTTGATGAATCCAAAGTCATATGTGAGGGATCTTTTGCATTAGTATACAATGGGGAAATATCACTAATTCACTAGAGTTGGACACGGATGCAGAAGAGTCTCAACACATTCCATATCAGTTTGATGGTCTATCAGTAGCAATAAAATGCTACAAGCCACACAGTGATTTAGGCCAATATGAGGTAATAATCTGAAAATAACAAATATATCACAATAAGTGTCTTTTTGTTCATTATATCTCACTTTTTTTCCAAATTTTGAAGGTTGAGAAAATGTTTCTCGCCCAATGCCGTCATCAAAACATTGTGGCATTGATTGGTCATTCAACCGGTATTGGACGATGTTTAGTTTTGGAGTATGTCCCGCTACAACTAAACAAAATTCACTCAGGTATTCACATCTCTTTGCGCTTGAGCAACATCTTTTTGTCATGACAATGGGGGGCTTAGTTGAAGCTTGATGACTATTATTGTACCATTGCTGTAATGTTTTGTAGTTTCTGCTATTCGTAAATTCAGAAATAGAAAACTTGCAGAAATTATTAGGAACATGGGCAGAAATTATTATTATTATAATAATAGAATTATAGTAAATAATTGTGATTGTGTGATAGTAAGTGTTCCCCAAAGAAAATATAGAAGCAGTTGGTTCCTAACAGTGCTGAGGATGTCCAGAGGCTCGCCAATCTAGGGCAAAAAATTTCACTAGAGAAGCTGATAATTCTAGTCTGGAGACAAAGCTGCTGTCGGTGGGTGTTATGGGTGCCCCTAGTGTAAATGGAGTTACTGTCAATCATAGGTCAATGGGTGAAGTTGACATGCCTTACCCTCAGGAGTCAGGACAGTAGTCATCTAGGGCACACTGCTGCTACCTCGGAATTGATCAGCAATGACACAGGAGAGGATAAAGAGAGCCAGTCTCGAAAAGGTTTGCCAGTGCATTAGACTGAAACCCTGAAGAATTTAAATAACCTATTTGTACAGTTCATGAATTGGGTGTTCTAATGGATATGGTGTACCGTCATTCATCAAACATTACTTTGCAGGGGCTGGAAAGGTTTGATAGCTTCAGGTTTGAGGGTGTTACTTCTATGATGTATAATCAAAATGGATTGGGGGAAGGAATTACTGAGAATTATAAGGAATATATTGGATATACTATGGATGTTGAAGCTGCTGTGTATCTGATGCTTGTCAAGGATCTCTTTCCTGGTCTCTTACGAGATGCCATAATCGTTTGCGATGATGTTAGATGGCTGCCAGCAATTTGTATACCTATTCCAGAGGGAGCTGCAGGTTTTGACCACCTGCTTCATATGGCTATTGCTGGTAATTGGGTCAGGATATTCTGGAAAAGAGATGAGGAGTGGGAAATGGGTGACAATGTTCACAAAATTACTATTAGAAGATGGAGAGAGAAGAGTGATGCTCATGTTGAAAGTCAGGACCAAGTTCCTGTGGGTGAAGGGGTTGTCTTAGTCCTGAGTGCCTTGGCAAAGAAATTGGTGAAAGATGATCTACAGACTAGTGCGATTGGAGGACCAATTTTTAATCACGCAGATGTCAAGTCAGGGATGGCCGTAAAGGGGTGCACAATTTGGTACTTTCTACAATTTGGGACTCTTCTTATTCTGGATTGAAATGGTCCGATGAGTTCGCTCATGTTAGCATTGTTGAAGGAAAAATTCAAGCACTAAATGAGTTTGGTACTGTTATCAATTTTAAGAATCATGATGATGATTTTAGACTTATTTCAGAGAATACCAGATGGGTGGAATCAGTGTGAATCTGGACACTACTATTCAGGTTGTTCAACGAGCAGTCTACACTTGTATTTTCTCTATGATGCAGTTCAAACAGAACGCTGATAAGAGGGATGTACTACTAAAAGTGGTGAGCTTGCTTGAGGATAACTTTGCTATGCTAACATGTATAATCAAGGAGTCTTTTCAATCAGTATGTATGGAAGTCCTAAAGAGGTTGACTGATAGAGCAGGTGAAGTTCAGGTGGGTGTCCTTGAAAAGGTTAAAGCTTGTTGGCTTGGTGATCCCTTTATAGCTGAAACTCCTCAAGTTATTTCTTGGTCAAACAGTTTCATTTTAGGAGTTTTTATTTGAATACTAATTTTGAACCAATTACAAAAAAAAGTGAGCACTTTTAAAAAGGGGCAAAAAGATGATCAAAAGGGTCATATATTTAGAAAAACATAGTGTCTGCCAAATTTTATGACACTGTAGCTGCCGCTCATGTCACCGTAGCCACCGCCCATGTTACTGTAGCCACCGCCTGTGTCACTGTAGCCACCGCCTGTGTCACTGTAGCCACCGCCCATGTCACTGTAGCCACCGCCTGTGTCACTGTAGTCATCGCCCATGTCACTGTAGCCACCACTTGTGCCACTGACTCACTGTACCCACCGTCCGTGTCACTATAGCCACCGATGATATCACTACTATGATTGTTTTTCGTGGCCAGCCTTAGCCGGCTGCCACAATGGCGGCTGTCCCCGCAACACCGCGCCTGACTAACTGCCACCCCACTCCACACTCGCATTTAGCACATCACACATACACCCGGCATCCACCAGTCCTTCCACGATCACTATCTCACCCTCAGCCCTACCCCTGCCACTATTCCATAAATGGTTTCTTACACCTATATCATAATACTTTTTTCCGCAATTCTTCTAACACCTTTGGTGGAAGTCGAGTGAACCTAGAGCGTTCAATAGACTGCCCGAACAACCCTGAATTTGTTCTTGGGGGATGCCTACTATCTTTAAATAGCTCCTTGATCCCCTTATGCTTTCACCACTCATAGTCGTGCTGTTACCCCTACTTGGACAAAAAAAATTGCCCAATCGCAATTCTGTTTTGTAGAATTGGCTTTCCCGACCTCCATCTTAAAAGGACAGATTGTCCTCAATCTCTGGCCAATTCCATTGCTATCTCCAGACTATTTGGCCGCAACAATCTTAAAGATCCACGAATTGGTCCTTTCAGCCCGTTCATGAAATACCTCAAAGTAATGATCATCAGACAGCTCGGGAATTTGGCTGGCCAACTGAACAAATAAGGTATTATATTCTTCCACTGTACCCATTTGTTTGACCCTAGACAGCAGTTCAAACCGACTGCCCTTGAACCGGGAGTCAAACCGAGCCACCACTGCTTGCTTGAATTCTTCTCAGACCATGCCCGGTTTCCGGCTTTCAACCAGGTCACCCAATATAGGGAAGCCCCTTTCATGGCAACCGTAACCGATGCCACTTTTCTTTGCGGTGGGGTCCTGTTTAGTTCTAACTGCTCTTCAACCCTAGGCACCCAACCGATCAGGTCTTCGCCATCGAATGAGGGAAGCAAGGCGAGTGCGGTGCTGCACGATCCACTGTTGCTCGTGTGCGCAGAAGCTGCGAGCGCTTTGGCGACAATCTTGGTCAGCTGGATGCCATGCCCCTCCAATATCTTCCCTTACCCGTCTAGTTTCTAAATCTTTAGGGTTTGTTTGGCCTCCATCTCTGTCAAACGACCACTGTGAGATCTCGTCATTCCAGCGGGACAAGATCCGGCAGGTCGGACCAATTGTTGAGAACGGAAAATTAATAATCAACGGAAAAAACCACTACCCAGAAATAATCAACAGTAGAAATCATTGCCCAAAGCGAATAGACTGAAATCCAATTTTATTAATCGATAACCAAGAATGAATCATAACAATCTAATAATTCCCAAACTTGGGAACAAAATCGTCTAAATCCTAATCAATTTCAAATAGGAAGTAGAATAATAGAGATCCCAATTAACTCCCACTAGGAAAAAAATATTTGAAATCCTAATTAACTCCAAATAGGAAACAAATAATAGAAATCATTATCAACTCCAAAAAGGAAACATATCAAGAAAATATAAAAATAATAATTAAATGGCCCGCATCTAGCCCACGAATGTGGGCTCAAGCCCATCTCCACCTCAGTAAACCGACATAGGCATGGGTCTCGGACCCTCCTCTTCTGCACAACCCCTGCTCTCTATCAGTTTGATTAGTCCTCTTGAACTAATGATGAGATAGAAGATCAGATTTGGGCTTAAGAAAATGAAGTGATAGTGTGTAGTCGATAGAAATAAAGCTAGTATGTGAATAAGTGAATGTTAAAATATAACATTCGCCATTAAGGTTTGTTTATTTATTTTTAATATTCCCGGTAGCTAAACCACCAAAATTGGTGGGGTTATTACAGAGAATAATTACTAGATGTTATTAACGTAATAAAGGAAGTACAAAAGGTGAGCGGGGACCAAACCAATACCTAACCGGATAAAGCATACCTTCTCGAAGTACAAGAAAGAAAACAACAAATGAAAAGAGTAAAATCTAAAATAGGAAAGGCCAAAGAGATCTGTAAAGTAAGAATTTCTAGCAGATCTAGGAAGAGTGTCCACATCAGTAAATAAGGGAAAAGGCCCATAACAAAGATTTGGATTAGCCAAGTGGCGGGCTGTCCAATTTTTTTCCCCAAGTGAATGGCCAATTTCAAGATTATTTTGAAAGATTAGTTTTTTCATCTCCTGGAGTGTATCCATCCATCTTTGAGTAGCTGGGATGTCTAGAGAGTAACGATAGGAATAGTATGCGTCAATCTCAATCTGGAAGTTTGGAAGTTTGTCACTCCTCTCTCTATTGCCCATGAGGCAGCAGAAAGAAGAGCTTTGAGTGCTGCCTCTTCACAAGATAAAGCTTCAATCTTGCTTTCTTCAATTGTCTTGAATCTCATCAAGACTTTGCAAAACTTGACAATCTCCTCATCTAGAGTTTAAGAAACAAAAAGTATAATGAATCACACTAATTATGTGTAAACAATGAAATTCAAATAATTGAAAGACAACGATTAGAATGAGGAATAGTAGTTTTGCCACATATGAGTAACTATTGACCGTAAGTAGTAACCTTTTAAGCTTGCCCTTTTTCTTGCTCTCTTTCTTGCTGCTCTTTTCCTTATCTTTGTTGGGCTGGTTGCCAATCTGGATTTCTTCTAAACTTTTAATCACTGTGGACATTGTTGGCCGTCTGTTTGCCACTGAATAAACACATTCTAGAGCTATAGTAATGATTTTTGTGGCCTCAATCGCTGAGCACTAACCCTTTTCCAATATCCCTTTATGAACCACATATCCTTTTTGCAATTGGAGTTTCGCATTTGTTATGAGCTGCTCAGACTTTTTATTTTCATCCATCAACTGTCCTCTCATTACCAGTTGAAGAATTACTATTTCATAACTAAAGATGTCTACTTTCTGAGTGTCCCCCTGAAAATTCAAATAATTATATCAGAACTTGTTTTCATTCTAAAGTTCAATAACAGAGCCGAACAAGAACAACCAAGTCTTAACCAAGGTAGTCAAAGGCGTTAGGCGCACTCAAGGCGACAAGGTAATCCCAGCGCCTTAGGCGCAAGGCGCAAAAAAGCCTGACTCGTGTCAGGTGCAATGCCTAGAAAAATTAATAGCAGCTTCAGAAGCTGTGGCTGAAGTTCCACCTTCCATGTCCTGTAAAAATTACACAAGCCAGATATTATATATGCATTATATAAAAATGTTTACTTATTAACTGAAACATACTAACTGTAAAAAAATACTAGTTGAAACATACTAACTGATAAACATGCTGAAACATATTAATTGATAAACATGCTGAAACATAGTAACTGTAAAAAGTAAAAACTTACTGAAACATACTACCTAATAAACATGCTGAAACATACTAACTGTAAAAAAATAAGTGACTAACTGAAACATACATGCTGAAACATACTGATTAACGGAAATAAGTTTATTGAGCAAGAACAATAAGTTTACTTTAGAACAAAAACATACTGTAGAGTACAAGAAAGTGTTACTTTACTTACTGAAACATACAAAATAAGTTGTAGAACAAGAAGTTTATTGATTAACTACAAAAATATATGCAAGAGTTTGCTACACATGTTTACAGAATACAGAGTAGAGCAACCAGAATATTTTTTTCACATGTATTTGTATACATGTTTAAGTTGTAGCTGCTGAAAAATGAAAAGGTATGAAAAATGAAGAAGTGTGTAAGAACTAAGAAGCAACCAGTATATATGTATTTTTTCACAAGAAGGGTACGTTACACTTTACACATATATACACAAAAAACATACTGGTAGCATGTAAGAAGAACTGAACAAGTAGCTGCTGAAAAATGAAAAAAGAAAAAATATGGAAAATGAAGGAGAAGAAAACTTACTTTGATCGTTGAGTGCTGGACTGCTGCAAGCCTCTGCGGTTGATGTGGAGGGAAAGGAGGATGTAGCGAACAGGTACAGTAGAACAGAGCAGAGCAAGGAGGTTTACGTTATGTGTTTAGAGTAGGTTAAGTTGTTTGACCTTATTAACATGGGTTTTAGTAATAAAAAAAGGGGGGGGGGGGCTTCTTAATGGTTTTTTTTAGCGCACGTGTGAAAGGTGACTCAGTAAAACCGGAAATAGGCCCTCCCCTGTCAGGCAGAGTAAGCGAGCGCTTTAAAGCGCATTTGCGCTTTCTGGTTGCTTCTGTGACTCAAAGGTGGACACGTTATTTTAATGAATAGCAGCACTGGCAGTGTGATCAAATCTTAGCCAGTACATCCAGAGAAGGATATTGAAAAGAAAGATCAAACAGAACAATCTGGTCATGAGGAACAAAACAATTACAAAGATCCCAACAATCAGTGTATTTTCCGGGCAATGAAGCTCATGGTCCCACAACCAGTGATGCACCCGGAAGGATGAGGCGCAAGAATGAAGACGATGGTCGGGGTTGTTTCCTATCACCTTGAGGACAAGGTGGTTGTCCCAAGGTGTGATGAAGATGCTCGTAGGCAAATAATTGTTTTGTGTGATGTAGCAGATTGTGCCTTACTTTCCATATATTCTGAAAGAATCAAGATAGTTGCTGAGAGATTTAGAAACAAATATGTCCTAGTGAAAAGATATACGTGGGAGAGGCTAGCTGATGCATCTTCATCAAAGCACCGTGAGACGGGAAGGCGGAAACTCATACGGAAGTGGGGAAGAACTTGCTTTGTGCTTAACCAGAGGTGGACACATTATTTTAATGAATAGCAGCACTGACAGTGTGATCAAATCTCAGCCAGTGCATCCAGAGAAGGATATTGAAAGGAAAGATCAAACAGAACAATCTAGTCGTGAGGAATAATAATAACAACAACAACAACAACAGCAACAACAGAATTATTATACAAAGTAATAAGTAATTGTGATTGTATAATAATAACAGTTCGGGGTCATGTAAGTCTTGATTGGACTGGCCCTTTTGTTTTATATAAGAATGGGAAGGAGGATAGGAGGCTGGAATTCAGTTTGGGATTAGACTGGGATAGTGAGGCCTACCAAAGAGGCTCAAACTTGTTATTTTCAACTTACGTTAATCTCTCGTTTCTACCATTGTAATAGGTTACTACCTTTTGAAATTTTCATCAATATAATACTAAAATTCTACTGCATTGTTGAGGTCTTAATCATCCTCCACTGAAAACCCAATTTAGTCTAACTGAAAATAAAAATGGTGCAGATTTCGATTGGCAAACACTGTTGTCTATTTTAAGGCAAATAACATGTGCTGTTGAATACATCCATGGATTAAAGATGAAGATTAACGATCTTAAGTGTTCCAACATACTAGTGGACAAGGACAAGGTCGTAAAGCTATGTGATTTCGGTTCACTAACTAAGGAAAATGTTCGAGGGACGGTCTACACTCCTGCGTATGCGGCACCGAAAGTGTTAAGATTTTTGGTAAGCTTTTTTATATTTTACAAATATACTTAATATCTGATTCAATAATATGTTAAGACCAAGGCTCTCAAAATCGTGCGCCTGAGAGCGCACCCGGCGCAGCGACAGATAGGTCCAGCGCCCTATGGATGGGTAGTCGCACCTTACCTTCTAAGTTGCAGGTAGTCGCACAAAGCGCAGATGCGCTTTAAAGCGCTCGCTTACTCTGCCTGACAGGGGAGGGCTTATTTCCGGTTTTACTGAGTCCTCTTTCACACGTGCGCTCAAAAAAACCATTAAGAAGCCCTTTTTTTTACTAAAGCCCATGTTAATAAGGTCAAAACAACTTAACCTACTCTAATTACATAACATAAACCTCCTTACTCTGCTCTGTTCTACTGTACCTGTTCGCTACATCCTCCTTTCCCTCCAGGCTTGCAGCAGTCCAGCACTCAACGATCAAAGTAAGTTTTCTTCTCCTTCATCTTCCATATTTTTTCTTTTTTCATTTTTCAGCAGCTACTTGTTCAATTCTTCTTACATGCTACCAGTATGTTTTTTGTGTATAAATGTGTAAAGTGTAACGTACCCTTGTGAAAAAATACATATATACTGGTTGCGTTTTAGTTCTTACATACTTCATTTTTCATACTTTTTCATTTTTCAGCAGCTACAACTTAAACATGTATACAAATACATGTGAAAAAAATATTCTGGTTGCTCTACTCTGTATTCTGTGAACATGTGTAGGAAACTCTTGCATATATTTTTTTAGTTATATCAATAAACTTCTTGTTCTACAGCTTATTTTGTATGTTTCAGTAAGTAAAGTGTAACTAGGGCTGGGACTTTGGAACCAAGAACCGGAGAACCGAACCGGACCGAACCGTTATGACCCGGTTCGGTTCGGTTCCACCATTTATTAGTTATTTTTTAACGGTTCGGTTCCTATTTTTTATTAATGGTTCGGTTCTCGGTTCCTGAAAAAAATATGTACTAGGAACCGTTAAGGAACCATTATATATAATAATTAAAATTATATATATTTCTTATGAGTATATATATTCTAATGTATATTTACTTACTTATTTTTATATTACATTCATTATTTTAGTTTAGTTATTCAACTATTTAAAACTAATATTTACTTCAACCGGTTCTCTTAGGCTTCTTAGGCCTCTCATTAGGTCCAAACTCCAGCGGGTCGAAACTTTGAAGGTCCAAAGTATTTAAAATTATTGTTCTCTTTAACTGTTAAAACATATTTGTAGCGTAATTTCAAACGTAGAATGTCTTTTTGACAAAAATTTAGTCATGATTTGTAAGAATTTTTTCAAAGACTAGAAACCGTTAAATGACAAGAACCGAACCGTTAAGAACGGTTCGGTTCCTTATCGGTTCTATAAAATAATTTATAAGAACCGAACCGTTAGTAAAATTTCATATTTTCAAACGGTTCCACATATTTGGCCTAGGAACCGAACCGGTCCCAGGCCTAAGTGTAACACCTTCTTGTACTCTACAGTATGTTTTTGTTCTAAAGTAATCTTCTTGTTCAATAAACTTATTTCCGTTAATCAGTATGTTTCAGCATGTATGTTTCAGTTAGTCAATTGTTTTTTTTTACAGTTAGTATGTTTCAGCATGTTTATTAGTTAGTATGTTTCAGTAAGTTTTTACTTTTTACAGTTACTATGTTTCAGCATGTTTATCAATTAATATGTTTCAAAGTGTTTATCAGTTAGTATGTTTCAGCTAGTATTTTTTTACAGTTAATATGTTTCAGTTAATAAGTAAACATTTTTTATACACTGCATATATAATATTTGGCTTGTGTAATTTTTACAGGACATGGAAGGTGGAACTTCAGCCACGGATTCTGAAGCTGTTATTAATTTTTCTAGGCATTGCGCCTGGCACAAGTCAGGCTTTTTTGCGCCTTGCGCCTCAGGCGCTGGGATTACCTTGTCGCCTCGAGTGCGCCTAACGCCTTTGACTACCTTGGTTGTTCTTATTCGGCTCTGTTATTGAACTTTAGAATGAAAACAAGTTCTGATATAATTATTTGAATTTTCAGGGGGGGCACTCAGAAAGTAGACATCTTTAGTTATGGAATAGTAGTTCTTCAACTGGTAATGAGAGGACAGTTGATGGATGAAAATGAAAAGTCTAAGCAGCTCATAACAAATGCGAAACTCCAAATGCAAAAAGGATATGTGGTTCATAAAAGGATATTGGAAAACGGTGAGTGCTCAGCGATTGAGGCCACAAAAATCACTACTATAGCTTTGGAATGTGTTGATTAAGTGGCAAACAGACGGCCAACAATGGCCACAGTGATTAAAAGTTTAGAAGAAATCTAGATTGACAACCAGGCCAACAAAGATAAGGAAAAAAGCAGCAAGAAAGAGAGCAAGAAAAAGGGCAAGCTTAAAAGGTTACTACTTACAGTCAATAGTTACTGATATGTGGCAAAACTATTATTCCTCATTCTAATCGTTGTCTTTCAATTATTTGAATTTCATTGTTTACACATAATTAGCGTGATTCATTATACTTTTCTGTTTCTTAAACTCTAGATGAGGAGATGGTCAAGTTTTGCAAAGTCTTGATGGGATTCAAGACAATTGAAGAAAGCAAGATTGAAGCTTTATCTTGTGAAGAGGCAGCACTCAAAGCTCTTCTTTCTGCTCCCTCATGGACAATAGAGAGAGGAGTGACAAACTTCCAAACTTCCAGATTAAGATTGACGCATACTATTCCTATCGTTACTCTCTAGACATCCCAGCTAGAAGGCTATTCCATCTTTGAGTAGCTGGGATATACCCTCCACGGATATACCTTCCCAGCTAGAAGGCTATTCCATCTTTGAGTAGCTGGGATATACCTTCCACGGATATACCTTCTCGTAGGGATGTCTAGAGAGTAACGATAGGAATAGTGTGCGTCAATCTCAACCTGGAAGTCTGGAAGTTTGTCACTCCTCTCTCTATTGCCCATGAGGCAGCAGAAAGAAGAGCTTTGAGTGCTGCCTCTTCCAAGATAAAGCTTCAATCTTGCTTTCTTCAATTGTCTTGAATCCCATCAAGACTTTGCAAAACTTGACAATCTCCTCATCTAGAGTTTAAGACACAGAAAAGTATAATGAATCACACTAATTATGTGTAAACAATGAAATTCAAATAATTGAAAGACAACGATTAGAATGAGGAATAGTAGTTTTGCCACATATGAGTAACTATTGACCGTAAGTAGTAACCTTTTAAGTTTGCCCTTTTTCTTGCTGCTTTTTTCCTTATCTTTGTTGGGCTGGTTGTCAATCTGGATTTCTTCTAAACTTTTAATCACTGTGGACATTGTTGGCCGTCTGTTTGCCACTGAATCAACACATTCCAGAGTTATAGTAGTGATTTTTGTGGCCTCAATCGCTGAGCACTCACCCTTTTCCAATATCCCTTTATGAACCACATATCCTTTTTGCAATTGGAGTTTCGCATTTGTTATGAGCTGCTCAGACTTTTCATTTTCATCCATCAACTGTCCTCTCATTAATAGTTGAAGAACTAATATTCCATAACTAAAGATGTCTACTTTCTGAGTGCCCCCCCCCCCTGAAAATTCAAATAATTATATCAGAACTTGTTTTCATTCTAAAGTTCAATAACAGAGCCGAACAAGAACAACCAAGTCTTAACCAAGGTAGTCAAAGGCGTTAGGCGCACTCAAGGCGACAAGGTAATCCCAGCGCCTGAGGCGCAAAAAAGCCTGACTCGTGTCAGGTGCAATGCCTAGAAAAATTAATAGCAGCTTCAGAAGCTGTGGCTGAAATTCCACCTTCCATGTCCTGTAAAAATTACACAAGCCAGATATTATATATGCATTATATAAAAATGTTTACTTATTAACTGAAACATACTAACTGTAAAAAAATACTAGTTGAAACATACTAACTGATAAACATGCTGAAACATATTAATTGATAAACATGCTGAAACATAGTAACTGTAAAAAGTAAAAACTTACTGAAACATACTACCTAATAAACATGCTGAAACATACTAACTGTAAAAAAATAAGTGACTAACTGAAACATACATGCTGAAACATACTGATTAACGGAAATAAGTTTATTGAGCAAGAACAATAAGTTTACTTTAGAACAAAAACATACTGTAGAGTACAAGAAAGTGTTACTTTACTTACTGAAACATACAAAATAAGTTGTAGAACAAGAAGTTTATTGATTAACTAAAAAAATATATGCAAGAGTTTGCTACACATGTTTACAGAATACAGAGTAGAGCAACCAGAATATTTTTTTCACATGTATTTGTATACATGTTTAAGTTGTAGCTGCTGAAAAATGAAAAGGTATGAAAAATGAAGAAGTGTGTAAGAACTAAGAAGCAACCAGTATATATGTATTTTTTCACAAGAAGGGTACGTTACACTTTACACATATATACACAAAAAACATACTGGTAGCATGTAAGAAGAACTGAACAAGTAGCTGCTGAAAAATGAAAAAAGAAAAAATATGGAAGATGAAGGAGAAGAAAACTTACTTTGATCGTTGAGTGCTGGACTGCTGCAAGCCTCTGCGGTTGATGTGGAGGGAAAGGAGGATGTAGCGAACAGGTACAGTAGAACAGAGCAGAGCAAGGAGGTTTACGTTATGTGTTTAGAGTAGGTTAAGTTGTTTGACCTTATTAACATGGGTTTTAGTAATAAAAAAAAAAGGGGGGGGCTTCTTAATGGTTTTTTTTAGCGCACGTGTGAAAGGTGACTCAGTAAAACCGGAAATAGGCCCTCCCCTGTCAGGCAGAGTAAGCGAGCGCTTTAAAGCGCATTTGCGCTTTCTGGTTGCTTCTGTGACTCAAAGGTGGACACGTTATTTTAATGAATAGCAGCACTGGCAGTGTGATCAAATCTTAGCCGGTGCATCCAGAGAAGGATATTGAAAAGAAAGATAAAACAGAACAATCTGGTCATAAGGAACAAAACAATTACAAAGATCCCAACAATCAGTGTATTTTCCGGGCAATGAAGCTCATGGTCCCGCAACCAGTGATGCACCCGGAAGGACGAGGCGCAAGAATGAAGACAATGGTCGGGGTTGTTTCCTATCACCCACCTTGAGGACAGGGTGGTTGTCCCAAGGTGTGATGAAGATGCTCATAGGCAAATAATTGTTTTCAGTTAGTCTAAATTGGGTTTTCAGTGGAGGATGATTAAGACCTCAACAATGCAGCAGAATTTTAGTATTATATTGATGAAAATTTCAAAAGGTAGTAACCTATTACAATGGTAGAAACGAGAGATTAACGTAAGCTGAAAATAACAGGTTTGAGACTCTTTGGTAGGCCTCACTATCCCAGTCTAATCCCAAACTGAATTCCAGCCTCCTATCCTCCTTCCCATTCTTATATAAAACAAAAGGGCCAATCCAATCAAGACTTACATGGCCCCGAACTGATACTATTATACAATCACAATTACTTATTACTCCGTATAATTCTGTTGTTGTTGTTATTGTTCCTCATGACTAGATTGTTCTGTTTGATCTTTCCTTTCAATATCCTTCTCTAGATGCACTGGCTGAGATTTGATCACAGTGTCAGTGCTGCTATTCATTAAAATAACGTGTCCACCTCTGGTTAAGCACAAAGCAAGTTCTTCCCCACTTCCGTATGAGTTTCCGCCTTCCCGTCTCACGGTGCTTTGATGAAGATGCATCAGCTAGCCTCTCCCACGTATATCTTTTCACTAGGACATATTTGTTTCTAAATCTTTCAGCAACTATCTTGATTCTTTCAGAATATATGGAAAGTAAGTTTTCTTTATATAATGCATATATAATATCTGGCTTGTGTAATTTTTACAGGAATGGAAGGTGGAACTTCAGCCACAGCTTCTCAAGCTGCTATTAATTTTTCTAGGCATTGCGCCTAATACGAGTCAGGCTTTTTTGCGCCTTGCGCCTCAGGCGCTGGGATTACCTTGTCGGCTTGAGTGCGCGTAACGCCTTTGACTACCTTGGTTAAGACTTGGTTGGTCTTGTTTGACTCTGTTATTGAACTTTAAAATGAAAACAAGTTCTGATATAATTATTTGAATTTTCAGGGGGGCCACTCAGAAAGTAGACATCTTTAATTATGGAATAGTAGTTCTGCAACTCGTAATGAGAGGACAGTTGATGGATGAAAATGAAAAGTCTGAGCAGCTCATAACAAATGCGAAACTCCAATTGCAAAAAGGATATGTGGTTCATAAAGGGATATTGGAAAAGGGTGAGTGCTCAGCGATTGAGGCCACAAAAATCACTACTATAGCTCTAAAATGTGTTGATTCAGTGGCAAACAGACGGCCAACAATGGCCACAGTGATTAAAAGTTTAGAAGAAATCCAGATTGACAACCAGCCCAACAAAGATAAGGAAAAAAGCAGCAAAAAAGAGAGCAAGAAAAAGGGCAAGCTTAAAAGATTACTACTTACGGTCAATAGTTACGCATATGTGGCAAAACTACTATTCCTCATTCTAATCGTTGTCTTTCAATTATTTGAATTTTATTGTTTACACATAATTAGTGTGATTCATTATACTTTTCTGTTTCTTAAACTCTAGATGAGGAGATGGTCAAGTTTTGCAAAGTCTTGATGGAATTCAAGACAATTGAAGAAAGCAAGATTGAAGTTTTATCTTGTGAAGAGGCAGTACTCAAAGCTCTTCTTTCTGCTGCCTCATGGGCAATAGAGAGAGGAGTGACAAACTTCCAAACTTCCAGCTAGAAATAAAACAAAGTAGTTTTAAGAATCACATTTAAACACCCCAAAATGTGTAAATATAGTAGGTTGGAGTACTTAGCTTTTTGGAGTGGGCTGAACTCAAGTGTGTTGTCTTAATTGAGAATCAGCTTTTAACCCGGTCTACCAA